AAATCTTATATCTGCAAAAGCAATTAGAAGATACCACTAATTAAAAGAAGCAAGAAATTAATAATCTCTGAAAAGTCACTGAGGCTAATTTCTCAGGATCATCAAAGAGATATTAATAGTTCACAAGAAGAACTTTTGCAGTTGAAAGCTACTGACCAAAAAGAGGTGAAAGACTTGATGTGCCAAACTGAAGCCTCTGCTAAAGAACACGATGCAGAAGTAAATAAGTTACATCAGCTAACGGATAACTTAGTAAAACAGTGTGAGGCAAATGGGAAGAACATTCCGGAGAAATATCGGTATGAATTAGAAAACCTCAAATATAAACCAAGAAAAACAGATGTGTCCTATGCTCTTACAAGAAGATGGTATTGTAGAACAAGTGGTTAATGAAAAAGTTAAACACTTAGAAGATACCTTAAAAGAACTACAATCTCAACATAGTATCTCGAAAGATGAGGTAAGTTACATGAATCATCTTAAATTAAGACATGAAATGGATGCCCAGCATATAAACGGATGAGTTTTCCTATTGGCGTGAAGACTTAGAATTTAAAATTAATGAACTATTACTAGATAAAGAAGAACAGGGCTGGCTAACTGAAAATTAAAATAGAAGATTCAAATAAACAATTTTGCTATATTGTAGAACAGTAACAAGGAAGTACAGAGTCTTAAGGAACAATATCAAAAAGAAGTATTAGAACTAAATGAGACATTTCTGTCAAGTTCAGAAAAAGAAAAATTAACATTAATGTTTGAAATACAGGGTCTTAAGGAACAATGAAAATCTACAGCAAGAAAACCAAGACATAATCTTAAATTATGAGAGTTAGTGAGAGATTATGGAAATTTTATAAACAGAGCTGGGAGAATCTGCTGGAAAAACAAGTCAAGAGTTTGAATCCACAAAGCAACAGCAGGCATCTGACGTTCATAAACTACAGCAGAAGCTCAGCACTGCTTTTAATGAAAAAAAAAAAAAAAAAAAAACGCTCTTCTTGAAACTGTGAATTGTCTCCAGTGGGAAAAGGAAAAATTATTATCTCAACAAGAATTCGTACCAGAACTTGAAAATACCATAAAGAACATTCAAGAAAAGAATGAAGAGTACTTAATTAGTCAGAGAGATACCATGTTACAAGAAATAGAAGCAAAGATAAATTCTCTAAGGAAAAAGATGGTTTCATAAATAAAATGAAAAATTCTCATTAAAAGATGGATAATCTCCATAAAAAAATGTGAAAGGAAAGAAGAGCTGATTATAGAATTTAGGGAGAAAGTGGAGCAAACTACTCAGTACAAAAGTGAACTAAAACAAAACGTAAATGAATTAACAGAAAAACTAGAAGAGATTTTAAAAGAAAAGGACCAAAATGACCAAGAACTAGAAAAGCTTATGGTTCAAATGAAAACTCTCTATCAAGACAAGGAAGCATCGTCATCTGCAGTGAGGTCACTTACGAGGAAAATAATAGACTAATTTCAGAAAAGAGCCAGTTTTGTAGTGATTTGGAAGCTCTTCTGTCTCAAAAAGAAGGGGATGTTAGCCTTAAATAACAGATTAGTGAGTTAGGAAAGAAATTTCAGCTAACAGTTAAAGAGCGAGATAATTTAAGTAAACTGTTTGAAAATGAGCAACTTCAGAAGTTATTTGTCAAAACTCAGTTGTACGATTTTCTTGAAGAGATGGGGTCAAAAGTTTCAGAAGAAAATTAAGACCAAGATGTTGTAAGTGTCCTACAAGATACAGGTGAATCCTTAGGAAAAGTCAATGAGGAAAAACACAACTTAGTTTCTCAATATGATGAAAGGCAGGGTTGGAATACTCAATCAGCAAGGCAAGTACGTGCTACCAGTGCTTACCCTGCTTCCTGGGCAATCAGGGAAAAATCGACATCTACAAAATACCTTCACAGCAACACCTGGGCAGTGTTAGACTGAACAACAGGGATGGATCACCCAGTAAGCAAGACAAGCACAGGCAAGCAGGTGCTTAGCTTGCTTACTGGGCAATCTGACCCTGATGAAAGGGTATCAGAGTTAGAAAAAGAGATTAAGTGCACTCAAGAAGAACACATAGCTCAATGTGAGGAAATTAGGTCTTTACTAGAAGACTATGAGAAAGTGCCCCTAAAGAAAGAGTTAGAAGAAACCCTATCAGAAAAAGAGGCCTTGCCATTTGATCTTCTAGAAATCAAAATTGTTAATGAAAAAAACAGGACTTGAAAACCAGGATCTTTTAATTCAACTTGAAGAAGCATCTCAAAAATTATTATATAGCAAAAATGAAATTCATAATGAAAAAGAAAAATCATTTCTAAAGGAACATGAAAATCTAAGACCATTACTAGAACAAAAGGAATCTGAATTGCAAGATGTAAGAGCAGAGCTGGCATTAGTAAAGACTTCCTTAGGAGAAATCATCTTCTGCAAAAAATTATCAAACCTCTTCAGTAAAAGAGCTGGAAGAAAAAATAGAAAATCTGGAAAAGGAATCTAAAGAAAAAGAGGAGAAAATAAATATAATAAAGCTAGTTTCTGTGAAAGCAAAGAAAGTACTTGATTCTAGCAGAAAAGAAGCCCAGGCTCTAAGGAAAGAACTTGAATCTGTTCCATCAGAAAAGGATCAGTTGTCTACCTGCATGAGAGATCTCATTCAAGAAGCAGAAAGCTATAAGAATCCTTTATGAGAATATGATAAGCAGTCAGAGCATTTGGATGTGGACAAAGATCATGATAATAATTTTGAGCATCATATAGAAGACCTTACAAAGCAATTAAGGAATTCAGCTGTTCCATGTGAAAAATTAAATTCTGATAATGAAGATCTCCTGGCTCATACTGAGACACTATAGTCTAATGCCAAGTTACTAGTATTACAGATTTCAGAAGTCCAAAGAGCCAAAGCAATAGTAGACAAAGAGTTGGAAGCTGAAAAACTTCAGAAAGAGCAGAAGATGAAGGAACATGCCAGTACTCTATGTGAACCTGAAGAACTTCGGCTACAACTTCAAAAGGAAAAGAAACAGCTTCAGAAAACCATGCAAGAATTAGAGCTGGTTAGAAAGGATGCCCAACAAACCACACTGATGAATATGGAAATAGCTGATTACGAACGTTTGACAAAAGAACTAAATCAAAAGCTAACTAATAAAAACAGCAAGATTGAAGGTTTGGAACAAGAAATAAAAATTCAGGAACAGACACAAGAAACCCTACAAGAAGAAATGAATATGCCCATCCACAGATGAATGGATAAACAAATTATGGTACATACACACCACGGAATACTACGCAACGATAAAGAACAATGACGAATCTGCGAAACATCTCACAACATGAATCTCGAGGGCATTATGCTGAGTGAAATTAGTCAGTGGCAAAAGGACAAATATTGTATGAGACCACTATTATAAGAACTCAAGAAAAGGTTTAAACACAGAAGAAAACATTCTTTGATGGTTACGAGGGTGGTGAGGGAGGGAGAGGGGAATTCACTAACTAGATAGTAGACAAGAATCATCTTAGGTGAAGGGAAGGACAACACACAATACAGAGGAAGCCAGCACAACTGGATCAAAATAAAGCTAAGAAGTTTCCTGAACACAACCAAACACTCTGAGGGGCAGAGCAGTTGAGGCGGGGCCTGGGGACCACGGTTTCTGGGGACATCTAGGCCAATTGGCATAACAAAGCTTATTAAGAAAATGTTCTGCATCCCACTTTGGTGAGTGGCGTCTGGGGTCTTAAAAGCTTGCAATCTATCATCTAAAATGCATCAATTGGTCCCATCCCATGTGGAGCAAAAGAGAAGAACACTAAAGACAGAAGGAAAATATTAGCATAAGAGATAAAAGGGCCATATAAACCAGAGATTCCATCAGCCTGAGGCCAGAAGAACTAGATGGTGCCCGGCTACCATCAATGACCTCCCTGACAGGGAACACAACAGAGAGTCCCGGACAGAGCAGGAGAAAAGTGCAGAACAGAACTCAAATTCATGTAAAAAGACCAGACTTAATGGTCTGACCGAGAGTGGAGGAACCCCCAAAGCCATGGCCCCTGGATGCTACGTTAACTAACCCCTGAAGCCCACTCTTCAGATAAAGATTAGACTGGACTATAAAACATAAAATAATACTCATGAAGAGTGTGCTTCTTATTCTTAGTTCCATCAGATACAAGAGACCAAACGGGTGGCTCCTGTCCAGATGCCTGATGAGAAGGCAGGAAGGGACAGGAGCTGGTGAATGGACACAAGAAACCCGGGGGTGGAAAGGGGGAGTGTGCTGTCACATTATAGGGATTGCAACTAACGTCACATAATACGTGTATAAATTTTTGTATGAGAAATTAACTTGAGCTGTAAACTTTCACCTGAAGCACAATTAAAAAAAAATTAAAAAAAGAAGAAATGAGTAAAACAAAATTCATTTTAACTTATAACAAATTATTGCTTCATAACAGAATAGAGGAGGTAGTGTGCATTAATTGTTCATTTCACCAGTCTTTGACTACCTACCAGGTCTTTTTAAGTTGTTTATATTCCACTTTATCCATAAAGTAATTTCTAATGTAAGCATTTAAAGCTTAAAAAAAAAAAAAAGTTTAACACCTAAAGACAGGTATTTAAGAAACACAGTAGAAACAACTCAGAGGTATTTATGTTTGGTTGTTAAAAAAAAATTTTTTTTGAAGACAAAGTTCACCACACTCAACTTTTGACATTAATTTCTAAAGCAGTGCAATGTTTCCACTAATCCACTCGCTCTCATTTTCACTCACTATGAAAAGGAATTCCCAAAGAACAATTATTCTAAGCAATTACATATTTATAGTACTACTATCTATTGATAAAAATTTCCAAGAGAAAAATGTCAGCATGTTTATATCTAGCTGACACCAGAGTACTCAATTAGTGTTAGAGAATGTAATCAAGTTTCAGAAAGATAGCAATAAATTATAAATTGTTTGGCATATCATACAAAGCAACTTACCTTGTAATTTTTTCAATACAGCAACCTCCATTTTCAAGACTTGTTTGGGTTGTTGAGCTGATTCCACCTTCAGTGCAACATTTTCCCTCGTGAGCATGTCCAGGGAATCGTAAATTTCTCCAAAGCCCCCACCCCCAATCTTCCTCAACTGCACAGGAAATAAAATGAGAACAGACACACACAAAATTACTAGAAGTTTCTCACTGGAAACCAATTCATCCTATATTTAGGAAATTATAACTTTACTATATTCTATGATAAAAGATTTCAATATTTTTAAACTTGTCGCTGTTAGGAGCTGTTGAGTCGATTTTCGACTCAGAGCAACCCCATGTGATAGAACAGAACTGCCCACTGGGTTTCTTAGGTTATAATCTTTTCGGTAGCAGCCTGAAAGGTCTCTCTCCAGCATTGTTAAACTGTGTATACTCCAAGAAGAAAACAAATGCCTGGAAATAACATCAAAACCTTTTCCCATATGTTTGTCCACAAAAAGTAATGAAATTATTTTAGTCGCAAACAAGTTTAAAATTTGGTCTACAGCAAGTATCAGAAATATAATTTAAAAAAAAAAAAAAGCAGTATCTGAAAGTATCACTTCCCATAAATACCACTGAACAACCAGATTTGTTGTTTTAATTCTAAGGCAGTAACTTGCAGACTTTTTTTTAGCCATGAGATCTTTTTGCCAATTGAAATCTTATCTGGAGCCAATATGGTTGAGATGTGTATGGGGGTGGGGTGGGGTAGGTCAGCCAGAGCCAAGTCCTCTCAGCACTATTTATCCTCCTCTCTGAGGAGCCCTGGTGGCACAGTGGTTAAGCATTCAGCTGCTAAGCAAAACATCAGCAGTTCAAATCTACCAGCCTATCCTTGGAAACCCCATGGGGCAGTACCACTCTGTCCTACAGGGTCGCTATGAATCAGAATCAACTCGATGGCAACCGGTTTGGATTTTGGGTTTGGTCCGCGGTATCTAACAGGCTTCACACAGCAGGCTGCAAGTTTCTGTTCCAAAATATCCTAGAGTTCACTATATGTATCTATTTACTGAAATAAGAGTAAACTCTAATCAAATTCAACACTTTCAACAAATAATTTTCTTCCCGATAAAATGTGTTAGCTTAGCTAAGGAACATCAGGATCCTTGTCTGAGTATTATAAGCAAGTTCTAAAGAGCTAGTGACAAATGCAGGGCTCTGAAAAGCTGGGATTGGGAGGGTAATATACTTCAAGGTAAGACACAGTAAAAGTTAGCCTTCTTCCAGTTTCTAAAACTAGGTCTTCTCCTTACCACATTATCAAACATCTAGGAGGCGATATCATGTAGAAAGGCAACACTAGAGGCACAGGGTAGTAAATCCTAACCAGCCCAAGAGGCCCCAGATCAAGCCCCACTTCCACCTCCACTGGGTCTTTAGTGACTCATAGGAATTTTCTGCTTAATCACTCATCATTTTACTAGGCCAAACACCTCAGATAACACTTATATTATTACACTACACCAAAAAAACCAAACCTATTGCCATCAAGTGAATTCTGACTCATAGCGACCCTACAGGACAGAACAGAACTGCCCCATAGGGTTTACAACGAGCAGTTAGTGGATTTGAACGGCCGACCTTTTGGTTAGCAGCCGAGTTCTTAACCACTACGCCACCAGGGCTCTATAACTCATATGTTGTTTAACTTACCATTGTCAATGTTCTATCACTACAGTGAAACTAATTTTCTTCGAAGAGAAGGAAACTTGTTCTATTTCTTCGTGTCCCACATAGCATTTGGCAACTGAGAATGATTTAATTATTGCTTAATAACTATTTATTGCTTTCTGTATATGAGCCATAATCTTTATTTTGGTTTGGTGATGGGAAGATATCATGAGAAACTACAGGGAGAATTTAGGATTTAAAAAGAATTCCAGTATCACTCAGCTAAATAAATTGCTCTTTGTTACACCTTGATTGGTATTTATAATTCTTTGTACTTTGTTCATTAAACAGAACTTAGTTTAACTTAAAAGCCTCATGAACAGTACCAAGAAGACATCTTTATCAAATGACAGAAAGAAAAACTAGGTTGACATAAATGTTTTTGCTCTTTAGTCTATTCCTGTAATGTTATCTGAGCAATAGTAGAGCATTGATTTATTTTATTGAGCTTTTATTTAGCTTGACAAAGCCCTAAGAAATCATCCTTGCTTATGAGGCAAAGTGACAGAGGTGGTTTAGTATGATGGATGTATGCAAATTATGGAAAGAATAGGGTTAAGGCTGTCATGATTTGTGGCAGATTGCATTTTCCAAAGATGGCCACGACAATATCTCCCATTCATTTTGTTCTTCTGCAATATGACCTTGGCACTCCCCTATCAAGAGGCAGAGTCCATTTCCCCATCCTTTGAATCTGGGGGAAACTTGCAACTGCTTTAACTAACAAATGACCAACAAAAAAGAACAGGCAAAGTGACACAGTCCATATCCCGAAAGGACAGCCTTTAGCCTAGTTGTTTCAGTTTCCTGTCTCCTGATATCCAGCTGCCATGTAACAAGTGCTACCACTCTAAGACCACCATGCTGTGAGAAGCCACAACCATGTGAAGAAACTCTAGAAAATGAGCTGCCAAGTTAGGGGTGGGGGTATGTGGCTAAGGAGCCCCAAGGTACAAAACAAGTAAGTGAAGAAGCCATCTTGGAAGTAGATTCTCCAAACCAACTACTCTGCTGTTGCCACAAGTCCAAGAAGAAAACCACCCAGGCAAGCTTTTCCCAAATTCATAATCCACAAAATTATAAGAAAAACAAAAGGATTGTTTTAAGACCCTAAGTTTTGATGTTATGGTTACATAATAATAGATAAATAAAATACCAGCCTTAATAATAAGCCTGTGATTTCTTACTAAAAATGCCTCTATGCCTCCAAAAATTTGGGGACAAGTTCCAAACATACATATTAGCTCTAATTATCAGGACAAAGGAATCATGCCAGGCATAATAGCTTCAAATGTCACCTTTTGATATGACTCCTGGAGAACAGCCAACTCTTATCAGAGCACTCAGTACAATGCTCTAGCCAAAGCAACATTTATGCCTGACTCCCACTGTCTTAGTCATCTAGTGCTGCTATAACAGAAATACCACAAGTGGATGGCTTCGACAAAGAGAAATTTATTCTCTCACAGTCTAGTAGGCAATAAGTCCAAATTCAGGGCATCAGCTCCAGGGGAACACTTTCTCTGTCGGCTTTGGAAGAAGGCCCGTGTCATCAATCTTAACTTGGTCTGGGGGCTTCTCTGCGCAGGAACCTCAGGTCCAAAGGATGCGCTTTGCTCCCGGAACTGCTTTCTTGGTGGTATGAGATTCCCATGTGTCTCTGCTCACTTCTCTCTTTTATATCTCAAAAGAGACTGGCTTAAGACACTATTCAATCTTGTATACCTCATCAGTATAACTGCTGCTAATCCATCTTATTAGATCATAGTGATTGAATTTACAACACATAAGGAAATCACATCAGATTACAAAATGGTACACGATTATACAATACTGGGAATCATGACCCAGCCAAGTTGACAGATATTTTGGGGGGACACAGTTTGATCCATGACACTCCACCCTTTGGCCCCCCAAAATTCATGTCCTTGCAACATGCAAAACATTCATCTCATCATATCACAGCAAAAGTCTTAACTCCAACTCCAAAATCCAAAAATTCCTCTTCATCTAGGAGATCTAGAATACAAGTTATCTGCTTCCAAAGGTACAATGACAGAACAGGCACAAGCTAGACACTTCCATTACAAATGGGAGAAACTGGAGGAGAAGAAGGGATAACAGGCACTAACGAAGTCAGCAGAACACATTGCATTAGCCCTCAAGGCTTGAAAATAATCCTCTGTTTTCAAAGACAACTTACACAATGACCCTGCTCTCCAGACTCTAGGTATTGGCCACAGTCTCCGGATTCTGAGCGGAGGCCCCTCAGCCTTGGGCTTCAGCTCCACCTTCCAGGCCCACTGGGACAGCAACTCTGCTCCCTTGACTTTAGGCCCACCATTCTCCTAGTACACTGGAGTGAAAACTCCACCCTTAGAAACACCAGAGGCCCTGACTCCACCCTTTGAAATCCCAGAGGTCATGGTAATACCTTTTGAGACTGAGGCAGCTTGGCTTCTTGGGATGTCTCTTCAGCTTCTGCTTTCTGTGGCCTCTCGACCCTCAGGCCTCACGTCTGCATCTGTCCTGCTGGGGCAAGTGTTCCAAAGCTCTGTAGCTCCACCAATGAATGATAAGTGCCTGGAGGTGCCCCACTCCACCAGGAAGCCTCTTGCACACAGGCACTCAGCTCTCTATCTCTGTGGGTCAGCTCCAGCGCTGTCTAGTGCTGGACTCCTGGTTCTGCTGCTGCTGGTCCTCTGCTGCTGCCGGTCCTCTGCTGCTTCCGGTCCTCTATCCATTAACAGTTTCAAAACCGCTTCCACATTTTAGGTATCTGTTAGAGCAGCACCCCACTCTCTTGGTACCAAATTCTATCTTAGTCATCTAGTGCTGCTGTAACAGAAATACCACAAGTGGATGGCTTTAACAAAGACAAATTTATTCTCTCACAGTCCAGTAGGCTACAAGTCCAAATTCAGGGCGTCAGCTCCAGGTAACCCTTTCTCTGTCGGCTCTGGAAGAAGGTTCATGTTGTCAATCTTCCCTTGGTCTGGGAGCTTCTTTGTGCAAGAACCTCAGGCCCAAAGGATGCGCTCTGCTCCCGGCGCTGTTTCTTGGTGGTATGAGGTTCCCATGTGTTTCTGCTCACTTCTCTCTTTCATATCTCAAAAGAGACTGGCTTAAGACACTATCCAATCTTGTATACCTCATCAGTATGACTGCTGCTAATCCATCTCATTAGATCATACTGATTGAATTTATAACACAAAAGGAAATCAAATCAGATTACAAAATGGTACACAATCATACAATACTGGGAATCATGACCCAGCCAAGTTGACAGATATTTTGGGGGGACACAATTCAATCCATGACACCCATAAAAGATCACCCACTGCTGAAATCTTCCTGCACCAGTCCTTGATGATGAAGCACAACTCTTTTCTTATTATTTGGTCAAGTAAATGTTTACAACCTACTGATTTACCTAATCAGTAAAACACATGTGTACCATAGAAACAAAATTTTTATTTCTAAAGGAAGAGTCCTCTTTTTCCAATCTGTTGATAGATTAAGGAAACCAACAGAATAGCTTTGCAAAACTTGCTAATGGAACAAAGCTTTGGCTGACAAGAGACCAAACAGCAATAAAAAATAATTAAATATATTAGAAGCAAAAATAGCTCCTTTAAGAAATAAACAGTCTTGGAGAAATGTCAAGATTCCAGGTCTAATAAGTAAAGCATTATTGAAGAAGAAGAACAAAGGAGGCCTTGCACTATCTGACCTCAGAACCTACTATACAGCTACAGTAGTCAAAACAGCCTCGTACTGGTAAGACAGACACATTGACCAATGGAACAGAATCGCGAACCCAGATGTAAATCCATCCACCTATGGTCACCTGATCTTCAACGAAGGCCCAAAGCCCATTTAATGGGGAAAAGACAGTCTTTTAAACAAATGGTTCTGTTGACACTGCATGTCCATTCATAAAAAAAATGAAACAGGACACATACCTCACATCACACATAAAAACTAATTAAAAATAGATCAAAGACCTAAATATACAACCAAAAAACTATAAAGATTGTGGGAAAAAAAAGGGTCAATGCATGAGACCCTAATACATGGCATAAACAGGATACAAATCATAACTAACAATACACAAACACCAGAAGATAAGCTAGGTAACTGGTATCTTCTAAAAATTAAACATTTATGCTGATCAAAAGGCTTCACCAAAACAGTAAAAAGAGAACCTAAAGACTGGGAAAAAAATTTTGGCTATGACACATCCAACAAAGGTCTAATCTCTAAAGTCTATAGGAAAATCAAACACCTCTACAAAAAAAAAAAGACAAATAATCCAATTAAAAAATGGGCAAAGGATATGAACAGACACTTCACCAAAGAAGATATTCAGGCAGCTAAGAGACACATGAGGAAATGCTCGAGATCACTAGCCATTAGAGAAATGCAAATCAAAACTACAATGAGATACCATCTCATCCTGATATTACTGGCACAAATAAAAAAAAAAACAAGAAACAGAAAATAACAAACGTTGGAGAGGCTGTGGGGAGATTGGAACTCTTACGCACTGCTGGTGCAAAATAGTACAACCATTTTGGAAAACAATACGGCACTTCCTTAAAAAGCTGGAAATAGAAATACTATACCATACAGCAATACCACTCCCAGGAACATATCCTAGAGAAATAACAGCAGTCACATGAATAGACATATGCACATCCACGTTCATTGCAGCATTATTCACAATAGTAAAAAGATGGAAAAAGCCTAAGAGTCCATCAACAGATAAATGGATAAACTATGGTACATACAAACAATGGAATACTATGCAATGATAAAGAACAATGATGAATCTGCAAAACAGCTCACAACATGGATGAATCTGGAGGGCATTATGCTGAGTGAAATAAGTCAAACACAAAAGGAGAAATACTGTATGAGACCACTATTATAAAAACTCATGAGAAGGTTTACACACAGAAAGAAACAATCTTTGATGGTTACAAGGGAAGGGAAGAGTGGGGAGGGAAAAACAGTAACTAGTAACTGGTAACTTTGGTGAAGGATAAGACAGTACACGATACTGGGGAAGCCAGCACAACTTTACTAAGGCGAAGTCATAGAACCTTCATAGACACATCCAAACTCCCACAGGGATCAAGTCACTGTGCTGAGGGCTGCGGACTATGGTCTCGGGGGACATCTAGCTCAACTGGCATAGCATAGTTTATAAAGAAAACGTTCTACATCCTACTTTGGTGAGTAGCGTCTGGGGTCATAAAAGCTTGTGAGCGGCCATCTAAGATACATCTACTGGTCCCACCCCATCTGGAGCAAGGGAGAATGAAAAAAATCAAAGACATAAGGGAAAGATTAGTCCAAAGGACTGATGGACCACAACTACCACAGCTACCACAGATTGAGTCCAGCACAACTGGAAGCTGCCCAGCTACCACCACCGACTGCTCTGACAGGGATCACAATAGAGGGTTCCAGACAGAGCTGGAGAAAAATGTAGAACAAAATTCAAACTCACAAAAAAGACCAGACTGGTCTGATGGAGCCTGGAGAAACCCCGAGGGTATGGCCCCTGGACACTCTTTTAACTCAGTACTGAAGTCACTCCAGAGGTTCACCTTTCAGCCAGAGATTAGAAAGGCCCATAAAACAAACAATAATACATATAGCTCGACCATGTATACGTGACTAAATGGGCACACCAGCCCAGGGGCAACGACAAGAAGGCAAGAGGGGACAGGAAAGCAGGACGAATGGAAATGGGGAACCCAAGGTTGAGAAGTGTTGACATGTCGCAGGGTTGGCAACTGTCATGGATTGAATTATGTCTGCCCAAAAATGTACGTATCAATTTGGCTGGGCCATAATTCCCAGAATTGTGTGGCTGGCCTCCATTTTGTGATTGGAACTTTATGTTAAAGAGGATTAGGGTGGGATTGTAACACCACCCTTACCCAGGTCACATCCCTGATCCAATGTTAATGGAGTTTCCCTGGGGTGTGGCCTGTATCTCTTGAGAGATAAAAGGAAAGGGAAGCAAACAGAGAGTTGGGGACCTCAAACCATCAAAAAAGGAATGCCGGGAGCAGAGCGTGTCCTTTGGACCCGGGTTCCTGCACAAAGAAACTCCTAGTCCGGGGCAACACTGATGAGATGGCCGACAGAGAGAAAAAGCCTTCCCCTGGAGCTGATGCCCTGAATTTGGACTTTTAGCCTACTTTGACTGTGAGGAAATAAACTTCTCTTCATTAAAACCATCCACTTGTGGTACTTCTGTTAGAGCAGCACTAGATGACTAAGACAGCATCCAATGTCACAAAACAATATGTGTATTAAATGTTTAATGAGAAACTTGCTCTGTAAATCTTCACCTAAAGTACAAAAAAAAAAAAGATTCTAGGTCTAGGGCAAGGAAGCTATCAAGACTATCAAAACTATGTCAAAAGAGCAAGAGACAAACTGAAAGGCGTCCCCTCAGCCAAATATGAGGCAATGTGACCATCAAGAAGGATAAGAATTTCAAGGGATGGAAACACATCAAATATGTTTAAATCCATAAATTTTTAGTTATGCTTTAAAAAAAGAAAAACCTCTTTGGTCACTTTTGGAAGATGCTAGGGAATCAATTCTTTATTTTGAAAACTAGTAAATTAAGGAAAACAGCCAAACATTTATCCTGTCTTCCTAACCAAACTGTATCTCAGGGTAACCAAATAGTTGATAATGGGAAATTTGTCTTTATAGATGTATTCCTACTAATAAATAAAGGCATGATAGATTATCACCAATTTGCAATCCTGATGAATTAGTAGATATAGACAACAATCAGTGGCTAACACCACAAAAACAGGGGCACAATCAGAAATATGTCTTCCAGTGAAAATTCACAATATACTTTATGGAAAAAAAAAAAAAAGCCCCCATCTCAAGAAGCAAACGTGAACTCAGATCTAATCACACCTCTAGATATAAATACCAATTTATATAAAATAACATGGGGCAGAGAAACACGTTAACACCACATGGACGCAATCAGCAAAATATAAACCATGGGAAATTCTACAAGCAAATGATCTAGTTTCTCCAAAAAATAAAAGAGAAGAAAAAGAGAGAGAAGAGGAACCAAAAAATTAAAAGAAACTTAAGTAATGTCAACCAGTAGCAATATACAGACTTTATTTAGATCTTGACTCAAACCACCATCAAAAATAATCTACAAACAATCATGAAGATGAGAAAACTGACTGGATATTTAATGATATTAAGAAATTACTCCTTTTTTTATAGTGTTGCTGTTAGACGGAATTGACTCGACAGCAACGGGTTTGGTTTTCTAGTTTTTTTAGGTGTGATAATGGTATTATAGGAGCCCTGGTGATACAGTGGTTAACGAGCTCGGCAGCTAACCAAAAAGTCAGTGGTTTCAACCCACCAGCCGCTCCGCAGGAGAAAGGTGTGGCAGTCTGCTTCCATAAAGATTTATAGCATTGGAAACTCTATGGGGCAGTTCTACTCTGTCCTACAGGGTCATTAAAGTTGGAAGCAACCCAACAGCAATCAGTTTTTTTGAGTGTGGTGAGAATGTTATTATAATTATTTTTTTAAAAAAGAAGAGCTTATCTCTTAGAGACATATACTGAAATATGTACAAAAGAAATGTGAAGGTAGAAGATTTACTTAAAGATAATCTGGGAAGGAAGTGAAAGAGATGAAACAACACTGACTATAAACTGATAACTGTTTAAACTGGGTCATGAGTACATAAGGTTCATTATATCTGTTTATATATTATTACATATACTTACAATTTTCCTTAGTAAAAAACTAAAAAAGAAAACAGTTCATTGTACTTTCAGACACTGTGCTTTTTTTCATTTGTTTTTCCCCCTAAATATACTTTTCTGTTTACCTTATTCAATACTAGCTATGAAAGGTTAAGAAAATCTACTGCATGAAGCAAGGATAAGCATTATGATACAAATAGAACTAAATCATAGGAAAATAACTGCTTTAGCCATATAAGCAATGTATTTATTACTTTATCAGAATACCAAAAATTACCCCCCATATGTACACACACACACACACACACACACACACACACACACACACACACACACACGCACCCTGTGATATATACTCACCACTTTCCATCTTTCTTTGACCAGGATTCCAACACTGAGGATATCTGGCTGCTCTCCTCCCCCACTCATTGCAGTTCACTGATGTGGTAGAACAGCTACACAGGCATCCAGCTCCCAAGGGTGGTTGCCATTTAAACTAAAACCAAAAAGAAACAGCAGCATTATGTCAGGGTTAATTAATTAACACAATAATAATCCAGCCCAAGAAGCACTACTCATCCTACATATTAAATAGGTTCCTTTATTGGAATGGGGATTAAAAAAACAACACAAACTCAGTTCCAAAAACTGTTTATTGCATGTAAAAAATTCTTACTTTACAGATGCCCAGCAAAATAGCTATACACTGTAAAAGACATTAGGTTACAACAGAGATATTATTACAATAATTGAGATTGCCGAACTATGGGCAAGCATGGTATCAGTAGCAGTTGACCTTGACAGACCACTATCCTAAGTACAATGTACTGCTAAAGAAAAGACAAACTGCCTAATTTAGAGCAGCTTATAGTTTAATATGTAATATTTTAATGTTATAAAATACACTAAAAATCATATGAAATAACCAAGAGCCACAGAAAATGACTCTGATCAAACTCAATACAATGATACTATAAGAAAAAGTAGATAATAGTAAAATGGATAGAATACCTATAGAAAATGAAGATACATCAGAAAAAATATGGCCTAAAGTAGATGAAAAAACTGTAACCTGATATTACAGAACTATAGGAAAGTAAGAAGATGACTGAAGGTTTAAAAGAACAATATAAATCATAATTTAAAAAGTTCTTGAATGAGACACCTAGTGTGATTGTTAAGGTTCTGTGTCAACTTGGTTGGGCCATGACTCTCAGCAGTGGGACAGTTCTGATGTAGTCTGGCAGCTGTATGATGATGTGATCACTCCCATGATCAGATTTGATATAGTGTGATCACCTCCGTGATGGGATCTGGTGTGACAGTAGCCAATCAGTTGAAAGGGAGTTTCCTTGGGGGTGTGGCCTGAATCGAATATAAGTGGACTTTCTTGCAAGGCTCACGGGCTTTTGCTTGCTCTGGATCCTGCAGCTGGCTCCTGTTCACTTGATCTCCACTTCTTGGGACTTGAGATAGCAGCTTACCTGCTGTCTTTCCTGTCGATCTTGGGATTCATCAACCTTCGCAGCCTGTGCGCCAGAGACCTGCTGTCTGACCTGCCCATCTTGAGGTCACCAGCCCCTGCAGCTACTTGAATCAAGAGAAGCCTCCAGCCTGAACTATGGACTTGGGACATTCCAGCCTGGAAGTGCTCACTCGTGGATGCCAAGAAATTTGGAAGACAACTACCTGGTCAACTGACTGGAAAAGATCCATATTTATGCCTATTCCAAAGAAAGGTGATACAACCAAATGCAGAAATTATCAAACAATACCATTAATATCACACACAAGTAAAATTTTGTGAAAGGTCATTCAAAAGTGGTTGCAGAAGTACATCGACAGGGAACTGCCAGAAATTCAAGCCAGATTCAAAAGAAGACATGGAACCAGGGATATCACTGCTGATGTCAGATGGATCCTGGCTGAAAGCAGAGAATACCAAAAGGATGTTTACCTGTGTTTTACTGACTACAAAAAAGGCACTCAACTGTGTGATCATAACAAATTATGGATAATACTGCAAAAGATGAGAATTCCAGAACAGTTAATTGTGCTCATGAGGAACATGTACATAGACCAAGACGCAGTCATTTGAACAGAAGAAAGGGATACTGCGTGGTTTAAAGTCAGGAAAGGTGTGTGTCAATGTTGTATCCTTTCACCATACTTATTCAATCTGTATGCTGAGCAAATACTCCGATAAGGTGGACTATGTGAAGAACGGGGCATCAGGACTGGAGGAAGACTCATTGAGAATCTGCGATATGCAGATAACACAACCTTGTTTGCTGAAAGTGAAGAGGACTTGAAACACTTATTGATGAAGACCAAAGACCACAGTCTTCAGTATGGATTGCACCTCAACAAAAAGAAAACAAAAATCCTCACAACTGGACTAATAAGTAACATCATGACAAACAGAGAAAATATTAAAGTTGTCAAGGATTTCATTTTACTAAGATCCACAGTAAACACCCATGGAAGCAGCAGTCAAAAAATCAAATACTCCCAAGCTTTTAAGACCCCAGACGCTACTCGTCAAAGTAGCATGTACAACATTTTCTTTATGAACTATGTTATGCCAATTTACCTAGATGTCCTGAGACCATGGTCCCCAGCCCTCAGCTTCAGTAACTCAGTCCCCCTCAAGGTGTTTGTATGTGTCTAGGAAGCTTCTATGACTTTGCTTTGGTCAAGTTGTGCTGAATTCCCCTATATTGTGTGTTGTCTTTCCCTTAACCAAGGTTAACACTTGTCTACGATCTCATTAGCAATCCCCTTCCCCACATCTTCCCTCCCTGTAACCATCAAAGAATGTTTTTTTCTGGGTGTAAACCTTTTCTCAGATTTTTATAATAGTAGTCTCATTCAATACTTGTCCTTTTGTGATGGACTTATTTGACTCAGCATAATGCCCTCCAGATTCATCCACGTTGTAAGATGTTTCACAGATTCATCATTCTTCTTTATAATTGCATAGTATTTCATTGTGTATATGTACATAAAATTTGTTTATTCATTCATCTGTTGATGGGCACTTAGGTTATTTCCATCTTTCTGCTATTGGGAATAATGCTGCAATGAACATGGGTGTACATGTCTATTTGTGTGATGGCTCTTATTTCTCTAGGATATATTCCTAGTAGTGGGATTGCTGGATCATATGGTATTTCTATTTCCTGCTTTTTAAGGAGGTGTCATATGGTTTTTCATAGTGGTTGTACCATTTTACATCCCCACTAGCAGTGCATAAGAGTTCCAATCTCCCCAAAACCTCTCTAACATTTGTTATTTTTTGTTTTTTTGGATTAGTGCCAGTAATGTTGAGGTGACATGATATCCCATTGTAGTTTTGATTTGCGTTTCTCTAATGGCTAATGATAGCAAGCATTTTCCTTATGTGTTTGTAAGCTGCCTGAATGTCTTCTTTGGTGAAATGTCTGTTCATATTTTTTGTCTATTTTTTACTGGGATTATGTGTCTTTTTGTTATTGAGGTGTTGAAGTATTCTACAGATTTTAGAGATAAGACCCTTGTCAGATATGTTGTAGCCATAAATTTTTTCCCAGTGTGTAGGTTCTCTTTTTACTCTTTTGGTGAAGTCTCTTGATAAGCATAAGTATTTAATGCGTAGGAGCTCCCAGTTATCTAGTTTATTTTCTGGCATTTGTCCATTGTTAGTTATGGTTTGTATTCTACTTATGCCATGTATTAGGGACCCTAGTGTTCTTCCTACTTTTTCATCCACGATCTTTATCATTTTAGGTTTTATATTTAGGTCTTTGATCCATTTTGAATTAGTTTTTGTGTATGGTGTGAGGTATGGGTCCTGTTTCATTTTTTTACAGATGGACATCCAGTTTTGCCAGCACCACTTGTTAAAAAGACTGTCTTTTCTATTTAATGGACTTTGGTCCTTTGTCAAAGATCAGCTAACCATAGGTGGGTGGATTTATGTCTGCGTTCTCGATTCTCTTCCATTGGTCTATGTGTCTGTTGTTGTACCAGTACCAGGCTGTTCTGACTACCATGGTTGTAGAGTAGGCTCTGAGATCACGTAGTGTGAGGCCTCCTACTTTGTTTTTTTTTGTTCAGTAATGCTTTGCTTATCTGGGGCCTCTTTCCTTTCCATATAAAGTTGGTGATTAGTTTTTCCATCTTGTTAAAGAATGCTGTTGATATTTGGATCGGGATTGCACTGTACTGGTAGATTGCATTGGGTAGAACCGACATTTTCATAACATTGCATCTACCTATCCACGAGCATGGTATGTTATTCCATTTATGTAGGTCTCTTTTGGTTTCTTGCAGTAGCGTTTTGTCATTTTCTTTGTACAGGTCTTTTCCATCTCTGGTTAGATTTATTCGTATTTTATTTTTTAGGGGCGATTATAAATGGTAGGGCTTTCTGAATTTCTTTTTTGTAGTTCTCTTTATTGGTGTATAGGAATCCAACTGAATTTTGTATGATGATCTTGCTGATTCAGTAAAGATTCAGTTACTCTGCTGAATCTATCAGTTCCAATAGTTTTCTTGTGGAATCGTTGCAGTTCTCTATGTATAGAATCATATCATTTGTGAATAGTGATAGTTTTACTCCTTCCTTTCCAATTTAGATACACTTCATTTATTTTTCTTTCCTTAGTGCTTCAGCTAGGACTTCTAGCACAATGTTTAATCGGAGTGGTGATAAAGAGCATCCTTGTCTTGTTCTCATTCCCCGGGGGAAAGCTTTCAGTCTCTCTTCATTGAGAATGATGTTGGCTGTTGGTTTTGTACAGATGCCCTTTATTATGTTGAGAAATTTTCCTTCTATTCCTATCTTGCTGAGGCTTTTCATCAGGAATCGGTGTTGGACTTGAAACTGCCTTTTCTGTGTCGATTGAGATGATCATGTGATTCTTTTCTTTTGTTCTATCTATGTTGTAGATTACATTGATTGGTTTTCTAATGTTGAACCATCCTTGCATACCTGGTATGAATCGCACCTGGTCATGGTATATTATTTTTTGATATGCTGCTGAATTCTATTGACTAGAATTTTGTTGAGGATTTCTGCATCTTTATTCATGAGTGTAGTGTGATTGATTACATTTGTGTGGCTTTTCTAGCCATGGTCTTGTAATTCTCATCCAGGTGATTGGGTGCGACTGCTTGATAGGGTAATTGTGGCCGACCAAGGGGATTGTTCAGTTTTGCCTTAAAAGAGAACCAATTCCAGAGCAGAGAGGAAGAGCCCACCACCACCAAAGAAGGAGGGATCTGCAGCAGGGACCAGCAGCAGAGACCCGCAGGGGATGGCACAGTGGGCTTCCCAGTCCACGGAATGAGAAAGCTGAGTGCCTCTGGGCAGAGACTGGGGGCGAGGGAGATGTCTACACCTGACCCACAAATTTGGGACTTGCCAGCCTCCCCAACCATGTGAGCCATTTCCCTTATGCGGTTCATGAGTTCTATGAGATGTTGCAGGGAATTAGGGAACCCAAAGACAGG